TATCAAAAATCATCATGAATACGAGCGAAAGAATAAAAACAAAAACTTATGAAAAAATTGCAGAATTAGAGAATAGAAGTCGCCAAAACAACTTAAGAATCAACGGACTTTGAAAAAAATGAAAACGAAAATTGGCAAGACACGGAGAGTAAAGTAAAAAACTTTGTTAAAACAAGGCTAGGAACAAATGAAATCATCAAAATTGATCGAGTTAATGAAATCATCAAAATTGATCGCCCATCGAGTTGGAAGAATTCTGCGAAAAAAGAAGAAATAGAACAATATTAGTAAAGTTTTTGAACTATTAAGATATAAGCTCGATATTGGAAATTACGTAAAAGAAAAACTTTGGCAACAAGGTCTTTTCGTCAACGAAGATTTTTGCGAACAAACGATACAAATAAGAAGAAAGCTGTTTACTGAAGCAAAGGAGTTATGATTGAAGTATGCAAAAGTAGTTTATAAAAAATTATTAACATGCAGTTAGAAGAATCCCTTTATTTTAAAATTATCAAAATATAAAAATTCTAAAATGGATTCAGTTCAACAAAATAACCTTAAATTGAAATAGCAAAAAATTTTTGTAACTTATGACTTAACGAAAAAACTTGATCTTGATTTAAATTATTTTTATGATACAAGTGCTCTTATTTTTATTTATTTTTTATTTTCATTATTATTTTTCATTTTTTATTTTCATTATTATTATTATTATTATTATTATTTTTATTATTGCTCTTATTTTTATTTATTTTTTATTCTGCTCTTTATTTTTATAATGATAAAATAAAAAGAATTTCTTTTGCGGGATCATATTAATGTTTTTCATTTTAATATTTGAAGCTTAAAAAAAAACTTTGAAAACTTTTGCAATAACTTACAAATTATTTACAAGTAACCAATCGCAGATTGGCGGTAAAGATATACAAGTATAAATATCATAAACATAAAGTTCGAAATATACGAAGTAAATAAAAATATAGTTGCGAACAACTCCGAGGCATGATTAAAATTAACACCAATTACAACAATATAATAACGTGAACGTAAAAATAATCCGAGAAATATATCTCTATATTCATCCAAATAAAATAAAAATTACAATAAATAAAAATTAATATGCTGATTTTTCGAAGGAGTGTTTAGATGTTACAATATAAGTTTGTTTACAACATTTCAAAATAATGTTTGTGTAAATATGAAAAAACGAAATTTGTGTAAGACTGATAAGAATTACTTGTTAATAGTTGTAGGAAGTTCGCAGAAGACTTAAGTCAGTCGTGTTATTGAGTACCTTTCTCTAGACTTGTAACACCCATAAAAAATCAGTTGCATACGTGGTATAAATGTATGTGTTACATATATACCTTATTATTAATATTATTATTTGTTTATTTCTTTTATCGATTTGTATTAAAAGTTACATTTATTTATTTTTTTATTTAGTTTTAAACAAGTTCCTTAAAGTTGTTTAATTTGATTATTGTAGATTTTAGCTTTATTTTCAGAGAGTGTTCGTTTTTAAGTTTAACAGCGATTCGTTTCTGAAAACTAATTTGTTAAATAAATAGGGACCACGATATATAAATGAGAATTTTGAGAGCCTTGTTGTTTCAAATCTTAAAGTTGCCTGTTGCTCTTGTATTGTATTTATTTATATTATTTTTAAAAAGTGTGCTGTAAAATGTTTTGGTTCTTCAAAGGTATATTTTGAAAAATATTTATTTGAAATATATTTAGTGCGTTCATTTGTTCGAGTAAGGGTTGGGCATGAGAAAATTTGTTTTTGTTGTATACTTGAAGCGTGTCTTGAAGCGTGTTTTTGACGTAAGTAAAGTGGTTCTAGTTTAGATTTATGGGTACTGCCTCATGTTATATTGGCATACATGAGATAGCTATGTATGAATGAAAAGTAGACAAGTTTTAGACTTTTTTGTGCTGCAAATGGTCTTGCCTTGTAAAGTTCTTGTGTTCTTATTTATGCAAACAATAGTTTGCAGTTTATTATCAGGCCTTACATAAGTATTTTATAAGTATACATAAGTATTGTTGGCGATAAGGAAATTTTAACTATTGAAATTATTACCGAAAAATATATAAAATTATAATTCTAAGTGCTGGCGATAAAGAAATTTTAACTATTGATTTTATTACCGAAAAATATATAAAATTATAGTTTTAAGTTGCTGCTATCGCTCACCATCAGGCGCAATTAAAGGTTTTAATAATTTTTTAATTAATGATATCATAAAAAAATGTTTTAATGAAAAAAATTAAATTATTTAATTGGTGATCTAAACTTAAATTTTTATGGCTATTACATAAATAACAACATTAAAAATTTTTATAACGATTTGTTTAAAAATATAGCAATTCTTTTAATGAATAAACCTACAAGAGTGACAACAAAATCAGCTTCACTAATAGACAATATTATTCTAACCGATACCTCAAATAAATTGCTCAAAAAAGGATTTATTAAAAGTGATTCATCTAATCATTTTCCCATTTTTTTCTCTTTTAATAAAACTACTGAACCTCTACAAAAACAAGTAGTTATGGAACGACTTATTAACGGTAAAAACCTTTTCTTATTAAAAGAGCAATTATCTTTGACAAATTGGAGTCTTATTATTTCTTCTGAACCAAACAATATGTACAACTCATTTTTTTAAAATATTTTATGAAATTTACGATGTAAATTTTCCAAATGCAAGATTTGTCAAAAAAATAAAAATATAAAATCACCATGGATTACAAAAGATTTAAAAAATACAAGAATGATTCTAAAATCAACATTCGAAGAATTTGAATCAGCCTACAAAATTATTAAACTTTATAAAGCGGTTTTAATTAAACTTAATAGACCAGACAAAATTAATGGAAATATTGTTATTGGTTCTTATGGCATTATTAAAAATATTCTTTTTAAAATTTTTAGTTACTCAATTAAACAAGCAATATTTCCAGATGCTCTCAAAATAGCTAAAGTTACACCAATATTTAAAGGAGCTGAACTAACTAAAACCTAATTTAAGTTCTCCCTATTTTTTTCAAACTTTTGGAAACAATTTTGTATTATAGAATATATAACTACCTAACTATAAATAAAGTATTATACAATCAATCAATATGGATTCAAAAAAATGATTCTGCTGAACATGCAATACATCAACTAACTAGAAGTATTGCAAGTTCATTTGAAAAATCACAACATACTCTAAGCATCTACATAGATTATCAAAAGCTGTTGATACTATTGATCACGAAATTCTTTTTAAAAGGGAATGTATTATTTAAAAGAGAATGTATTGTTAACATTAAAAAACTATTTAAAAACTCATCATCAAATTTATTAAACATATAGGGCTGAGTCCCACAAGAATCCATACTAGGATCTTTAATTTATATTAATGATCTCTATAAAACATCAAATTTAACAACAATAATGTTTGCCGATGACACAAATCTTTTTCTAACTGACAATGACTTACCAACATTATTTAACAAAATGAATGGTGAATTCATTGAAATTTCTAACTCGTTCAAGTCAAACAATCTAATCAATAAATATCGAAAAAAACTAAATAGATCCTCTTTCACCCAGCTTCAAAAAAAAAATCTACCTTCGAATATATCTTCCTTGTATATTGAAAACATTGAAATAAAGAAAGCTAAAGTTACCAATTTCTTGGGTGCTTAGATTGATGAAAACCTCACATGGAAAAATCATGTTAACAATCTAAACAATAAAATTGCTAGAAGTATAGGAATGCTATACAGATTAATAACTTTATTAAGTAAATATGTTTTAATTCAATTATATTGCTCATTTATTCATTGCCACATAAATTATGCTAATACTGCATGGAATGGTGTAAACAAAAGTATAGGAGAACTTTTTTATCGTCTACAGAAGCATATTGCACGTCTTATAAATTTTAAAGACCGTTTTACTCATGCCAGACCTCTTTTACTTAAAATAAATATTCTTAATATATACCAACTTAATGTCTATAATATTCTTTGCTTTATGTATAAGTGTAAAACTAACTCTTCCCCTTATCCTTTTTATAATTTATACTCACATAAAAAACAAATACTATCTATCTTCGAAAAGGAAACTTTACCTATAACAATCTTTTTCACATACAAATTTTGGTAGATCTTGTATCTCTTATCGGGGAGCTTTTTTATGGAACAAAATAGTTTTGAAATATTTTGATTTTACTCGAGAGTAACATTACAACACAATCAAATGAAAACTTAAACGGACAACTTTATCTATCAATAACATACTCTTATATTTTTAATTTTTATAAGGTAAATTTTTTAAAATTTAATTCTTAGTATTTATATTTACGTTTATAAATTTTTACTTTCGACGAGAATATACATATTTAACACAATAACTGTAACAATGCAGTTGAAAAACAAAGCGGTTCTCGACGACGACTTTAAGGTTTTCAACGAGATTCCAAGTTCTTCTCTTACAAACTTAGTTAATCTTGTAATCACTCTATTATATTATTGTAATTATTGAAATTGTAACACGACTAATATTGTAAAACATTTAAAGAAAAAACAAAAAAAATTTAAGAAAAAAATTTCTAGTACCACTTTTTTATACAACCTTTTAGCAAAATTTAACGAGTTCTTTTTAATTTTGCTTATTTAAATTTGTAAACAAGTTTACATCTTTAAAAACATTATAATAATAACATTTTTTTTCCCTCTTTAATGTATCCTAGTAGTTAGTTGACTAGATTAACAAAAATAATTGCAGATTCTGTATTTAAAAAGCGCTACCTATAGTAAAATCGATACCTATAGTAAAAGCGCTACCTTATAGTAAAAGCATAGCGCTTTTATAGTAAAAGCGCTACCTTTAGTATCTACATTTTGACAGCGTTTTCAGTTTTACTTTTTGAAACAAAATTTTTTAATACATAAAATAATTTTTTGATAAATAAACCGTATTACTTAAGAAAATCTAAACA